GGTTAGTTTAAATGCTGTAGTTGAAAGCATAACAATGGACAGCGGTGGTTAGCAAACGGAGAGTTAATCATCACTCTTTTGTGCCAAACTGAAACTGTCAGCGAGTGGCTCCTTAAAGGGTTCAATCAATCTTCGTTATTGTTGTTAAGGGCAGATAATCCACAAAATATTCAAATAAGTATGAAAAGATAAAGTGTGGTACACAAAGTATTACAGTGTTAAGCACTTGAAAATTTAAGTAGTAACAACAATATGGTAACGCTTGACAGTTGGTTGGGCGGGTAGCCCTAGCTGCTGTTCCTACTTTAACTTGAATTTATTGCACTTTTCAACTTAAGGTTGCATTATAGATTTCCCGTCCTTGATTAATAATAGAAAATTATTGTGACAATTTTGTTTAAAGGTAAATATGATGGTGCACAGTCAGAAAAAAAAGTTTTAAAGACAATGTGTGGTATACCGCATGGAAATATTTATGCAAATATTTACTCACCCCGCAGAAATTACTGAACTGCAATATTTTTCTGTAATCTTCGAAATATTTTCCACATGACTTTTTGTGCATGAATACCTATTATATAATATATAGCCGGCATTAGTGTTTGAGGTAACACATTCAACATGTCCTCAAATTGTCTACACATGAGCTATCAATACGCTAGCCCTATCGGCTAATACTTAGCAACTTAAATAATCTCGTAGCAGCTACTTTGATATCAAACAATTCAATTTGGTAGACTAGTCAAGAAAATTACACATTCTTGCTTCACAATGAACGAAACACGTGCATTGAAGTAAGCCTGAGCCCACAGAGAGCGTTAATATTAAATTTCCATAATAAGTTGCAGGCGTTTCTAGCCCTGTATTAACCAGCATATTTAATAAATATAATTTATTTTTTTCATTTTAAACAGATTGTTGGAAAGACAGTCTAGTACCCATTTCCTGACTATACTTTCTATAGGCTAGATGTCCGACGATATCTGTAAAGAATTCCTTCAAGAAATTTTGTCACAATTTAAGTAGTGATTCAATGTCGCTTTTTCCAGATTGATTTTAATTCTAATAATATTTACTCATATAATATTTTTATAGCATTACATGCTCAGTAACATTTCCTAAAAAAATGGCAACCCTATAACTAAATTCATATCAAATAAAAATAATATTTTCAAACAAAAAATCTGTCCTTTCCACTTAAGGGATTTACAAAATTTTGAAAAGTAAGCCATAATTATTATATTTGGTGCGTACGGCAACCCTATTACTGCATAATTTTATAATAAATCTTCTTAAAGAATTATAGTAAATGTTTCAATATGCACATAGCCAATAGTATTATCTCTGCTACATGCACATACGCACACAAATATTCGCAAACAATAAACCGCAATGAGATAAAGTTTTCCCGACCCCATGCTCTTTGTGTGTTTCCTTATGAATTGGAAAATTCATAAAAAACCCAATGCTGCCATACAATATATAAAATAATATTCAATTTATGTGCGAATGTGTGAGACACCAAATATTATATTATAACTCATTCAACGCATTTCAAGCAACTATTTGTACTTGAGCGCACTTTTGCCATACGCATTTATTGGTCACCGAATAAAATTAAGCCTTAGCAAATAAAACATATCAGATAGTAATAAATATTAGTTGATAGATTATGTTTGTAAATCAATGAACTTTCGCACAACAACGCAAAGCGGATGCCCACAGCTCAGCCACAGCCGCACAATTTTTCGCATTTATCAAGCATATATAAATATAAGTATTTTATTTAGTTTGCACTTAGTTATTGGAAAATGAAAAGCCTATGCCGCCGACAAGTCAGCTAAACCACTTAGTCAATCAGTCTGTCAATCAGGCGCTTGGTCTACTAAGCTTACAGCCGTTCAGTCATTCAAAGCTGCTAAGCTCAATCAAAATACGAAAATATGTATGTTTATATGTGTTTATATACATTAATGTGTGTGGGTGGTGTCAGGTGCCACCTTACTGTCACGGAATCATGGCGTTTGCATGCGTTTGCGTGGTTGTAAAATATTCTTTGAATTGTTGTTACAGCCGCAGGTCAACCGACTATTCAATCAGCCAGAATGCTAAGTAAGCAATCAGTGAAGTGAATGAGCCGCTGCGGTCGCACAAACATGTAGCTGTTGTGGCCCGGAAAATCGATCGACAATAATGAGCTGCAATATGTTGGAATAGATATAGAAAACAAACGAAAAAACAAGAAAAAGCGTTCACTTCGATTGCAACGAACCTATAATAAATGCCCTTCACAAATACAAAAAGATTCCTTATAAAAAGTAGATTTTGAACGTTCAGCTTAAATGGCAGCTATATGCTATAGTAGTCTGATATCGACGCTTTCGCCAAATGAGCAGCTTCTTGAGAACGTGTGTAAATTTTCAGATTGATATCTCAAAAACTTAAGGACTAGTTGGCGTATATACAGACATACAGACGGACATGGCTAAGTCTACTCAGCTCTACACGCTGATTATTTACATATAAATGTGTGTATATATTAGGGTGGAGCGAAAAAAATTTGTTTTTTTGATTAGCCTGAGAGTAAAATTTGTAAATTATAAAAAAAAAAGAAAATTATGGACAAAAAAAGATAAATTTTTAACATTTAGAGGAACCCACGCAGTTTTAAAGTAATTTTTCGAGTTAAAATTTTTATTTCGTAAAAAATTTTTGATATGTTTTCTAGAAGCTGTGGAGGGTCCTCTTTCTGGTCAATTAAAAGTTATCTGCTTAAAAATATTTTTTGTGGTCATTATTGGAGTTTTAAAAAAGGTCTTAAATGACAATATGCTTTCCTTAAGTGTTAAAATAAATTTTGATTCCGAAACCGTCACATTCGGTAATTTTTATATCAATGTAAAGAGTTTAAACAAAAATAATTTTTTTTGTCCAAAAAAAATTTTTACTTCAAATTTACTTTAAAATTGAGTTGAGCTGAGCTGTTAAAAAAAATTTTTTTTGTCCAAAAGTTTTCTTTTTCTAATTTACAGATTTTATCCTCAGGCTAAGCAAACCACCCTTATATATATTTTATAGGATATCCCATTTTTCTATCTGGGTGTTACAAACTTTGTTGCAAACTTAATATACACTGTACAGGGTATACAAAATATATGCAATAAAATATAGAATTCTTATATGTAGAGGTGATATTGGTAGAAGCAACTATTCATGGATTGGCTTTGAATTTTGAGTATAGATGCTTAATTTAATAATTTCTTTTCTGTTTCTGAACTTAATCACGACTGGAATGTAATTGTGAAAATGTAATTACCGCAGCTCTGGATTGCTTTGGCTACAATTTTTCGAAAATATTGTTTAGAATCTTAGATAAAAAGCCTATTTGATCGGTCATGTGCAATCGACCGACTAATTGACCATATTTCACGCATTTACCGTCACAAAATTGTACATTTCGCAACATCTACTTCCACACTTTTCCTCCTAAGTCGCTACATACATTCAGCAAAAAACTCTCTATTGTTGTGCATTCAACATTTGGCTTGCTTGTCTGCTCTTTATTGATTCACCAACAACAATTAAATAGGAAATTTATTGTGTTATTTATATTAGCGCGATTTGTCACTAATACATACTCAATTGGCATTCATGCATATACACAAATCTACCTGATTATTGCAGATATATATTACTATTGTTTGGACGAATTGTCGCCGCTGGCCAACCACCAATGTTTTTTTTTTCTTTGATGAAAGTCAATATTTGCTATATTATTTTTATTTCTATTTCTATTTGGGCTTTAGCCGCACTCTCACTCATTTTTAGTCGCATATTATGCTAGAGATTTATTTCAATCAATAGAAAACGTAATGCGGTTCAATCTTTGTTGATTAGGTGGCATTATGCTCCGATGACCCTTTTTGCTAAAATTTTACTATAACGCTGAGTTAAGATTTTCTGTGACGTCGTATATATAAATATAATATATTGTATAATAAATAAAATATATATAAATAGATATATATATATAAATATATAATAATTGGTATTTTACCACTACTAAATGCTTCATATTGCTATACTTCATTTTATTTACCAATATACACACAATCCAAACGACCTCAATATAATATTATTTTCATTACATATGTAACATTTCTAAGTTTTCATCAGAAAAATTTAAAATTTAGTTGGTTGACTTTTATATTATATAAGTACTCTTAACAATAATTGTTCAAAAGTATTAAAATTCATCTCAATTAAAAATTCTATTGTTTATTTCTGCATTGCTTTGCTCGGGCGGACTACTACTGCTTCAAATACAGTATTATAAAAAGCTTTAAAATGAATTCAGTTCTTCTAATAATTACTAAAAATCATATGCAATATTTATATTTATATAATTGTTGTTATTTGTCAGCATTTATTGCTGCTAGTTCATTTATTTATGTACCAATGAAATGGGTTTAACACTACTACGATTTCTGTGATTTATTCGTTTGGTCACACATATGCACATATGCACATATACGTTAACGGTCAGTTGAGCCTAAATAGTACGATGGCAGCATAGAATAAATAAAAAAAAGCAGGTTCACTTACATTTTTACTCGTATACCCTGAAGAAGGTATTAAGTCGTAGTAAAATAATTTCTATCGTTACCAGCATCATGCTTTCAAAAATAACTTTTTGGGTATTTTCAAAACTTTTTTCTGTTTTTGTGTTTTTTACTGCTTTATATATAATATTTGAATGGGTTTCCACTATATTTAGTGTTGAATTATAGATATTTTTTTTAACAAAACATTTTATATTAGTCAAATTATCTGAATATGGCGACATCGCCATTCATTAAACAATGGCATTTTACTGCGAAGCACTTGAGTGAAATTTGGCGTTGGCGAAAAGCGGAGGTACCGCAAAAAACTAACGAAAATTGTCAGCACAGCAATTAATTTTGGCACATCTCTCTCTTCCACTTTTTCTCATTTTACAGCAACGAAATACAATAACAACAAAGCACACACACACGCTTGAAAATTGATAAATCAAAGCAATTTACTTAAACAAACACTGGCGGAAAGTGAAACAAGTGAAAACAACAAAAAAAAAAACAAATAATGTTAAGCATTTTTTACACATAAAACTTACCAAACCAAGGAAGTACTATTATTAAAATTTACAAACTAAAAATAAATAAATAAATCAAACAAATCAGTTGAAAGAAAGTACTACGACACAACAAACAACATACACAATTTACAACAAAAAAATATATAAAAAAATTTAAAAACGCATAAAACTGTAAATAAAAATCGCGCACACCAGCAAAATGTCAACGACCAACGATATAGTCACCGCTGAGGCGGCACCAGCCAGCGCGTTGCCAATGTCGCAAATGCCCGCTGCACCGACGCCAGCAAACGATCAGGTAGGTACGCCTTGGCAGCCAACTGCTCTGGCTGAATGCCAGCGCATCGCGCAATATCGTAATAATTGCGCTGTCACATTGTCACCAATCTATATACACACATACACACACACTTATGCTATATTCGTACACTAAAGTCTGCAGTCAAAAAGTACAACGCTTACATGCATAATCCATAGCATTACCGCTTTACTGTTATTTACGTATTACGTATTTTTATGTTAATAACTGTACTTAACTTCTTTTAGCATACTTTTGGGCGTTTATGCTTGATTTTTGCTCTTTTTGTCTGTATGCACAGTTATTGTTTTTTTTAATGTTTTTGGCATGACTTAGTCGATTACTAAGCTAATGTTTGCACTTATTGTTAACTTTCATTCGCTTTTGTAAGTTATATAGCAGTTAACACCAGTTACCTGTCACACTTTATTTTAAGTAATACTTAAAAGTTATAAGACTTAGTATTAAACCTCTGCAGTTGAGAGACTATTTATAGTCTAGTTTGTTTTTTCTTCTTCTGTTTTAAATATTTACGAATTTTATTACTTATTTGAATATTTTAGTCCTTGACAGCATATTATAGCTATCCCACAATCTACTTACTCTTAGTTAGTAGTAGTTAGTTTGACCAATGACATAGCGTTAGTCTTATTCCGGTAATTACATGCTTAATAATATTTAAACTTTACCAACATAAGATCAACGTTTGCTTCCTTGTTCACACTGTAATTGAAATTCTCTCCCTAAATTACGGCATTGGTCTGACGATAGCGCTTACAATTATCTTCTAAACCCAATATATATGAGTACAGCTTACTAATTGAAGCATATGATAAACCTTCAATCATGGTCCTTAAAAGTTTGACAGTGATCGTCGCCAAACCAAATCAACTCAATGCTTCAGGCAAATTGAATGTGCATCTCGCTTAAAAGATTGCATTCACTTTTAAGCCAGAAAAAACAACAATTTCTGTAAATTTGTTTTTAAGTAGTATTTGCTTTAATAAATAAATAAAAAATATTTATACACAGAATCACATGTATTTTAAAATCGGCTATTAATTTTTAAAAATTTTGCATTCGCTTGTTGCTGTAGCCGATCTTCAGGAAAACCTACGAAAATGGTGTCTGACCGCGAGAAAGATTTTTATGCTTAAATCTAACTGAAATGCAAAAACCAATTCTTCTTTTTATTTATTTTTACTATAAATAATTTATATATATATTTTACTAATAAATAAACACAAGTAATAATCGCAGGACTAGTCAAATTTATATTTTTGACAAGTGGCGACTTCCCAAAAAAAAAAAACGTTTTTCGTGAAAAAATTTCTCTTCACTCAAAAAATCGGACTTATTATAACAATATGAAAATAATTGCCAAAAAATACTTCGATTACAAACTGACAAATATAACTAAGATAGTCTTTCTTGTGAATATTTTAAGCCGATCAGTCCAACCGAAAACTTTCGAAAAAGTCTACCTCACAGACGCTGAAAACATCGTGTCGCGTTTAAAGTTTTGCGAGCCGATAACACAAATTCTCATAAATGCGCTTATATCTCCGAAACTATTTGCCGGATCAATTTCAAATTTTCAGAGAATATTTTGAGATGTATGTAAATTCGATAATATATGAAAAAAATATATTTTTTGAAACTCACAACTGAATAAGAGTTACTAAGAGTTTACCATTGTTATGAAATTTGACGCAATAGTAGAGATTGAGAAAAAACTTGCCAGTAGTCTATAACCAGCAGCCTTTAACACATGCATACGTATAGATATTAGATATCTGACGAGCTAATGCTAACAATCAAGGCTAGTTCGTCAAAGGAGGGTGCTAATAAGAAGTCATGATGACCTCAATTGTCTCATATCTTCTTCTCTTGAGAAAGTATTTTCATTTTGGAAGCAAAAACCAAATATTCAGCGTACTATTATTATTTTTAGTAACGATTATTTTCAGTCTGTTATATACTTTGAAACGAATGGGCGGTAACGTGCTTCAAGTCCAAAATCATGAATGTATTGAGCTGATCCAAGCAAATAATGGAAGCCACAGAATTATCATTTTCAAGTTGTAAACACTTTAAAAATACTGTGTGTCTATTTGTCGTATTATTTATCATGATACGTATTTCACTCTCACAATAAAAAAAAATATAAATAAAACTAATCGGATTTCGGTTACAAATTGGTAGCAATAGAGCTTACTGAACCATTTGGCACAAATTGTATTATTGAGCTACTAATGCCTCGGTAAGCAACCACAATTGCCTGCTTAATATTTTATTTGTCAGATTTGCGAACTTATTGCTTGCCTGCTTCAATTTGCCTCCGTCAGCAACAAAACCGAAATACATGCATAAGAAATAAATTAGTAGGTAGTTGTGCTTTTTTGCTGTTGTTGTGGCACTAATTGTGGCTAGGAGTAATTGGCAGTAGACGTCAAGTTAAGCCGCAATTAATTTCAAAGCAAATGAACGAAAGGAAATTACAAAATGCAACCATGTACAAAAAAGGGAATAGCGATAGGGAAGAGAGTAAGATAAATTGATAATTACAGACTTAGTGAAATAAATTTGCTTGCTTTGCAAAGGTCGAAGTTGCACAAGTAAACTGAACGATTTCTTTATTTACCTATTTTGCTATTTAATATATTTTCAAGTTTATTTTTTTTTTGTTTTTGTTCGCTTTGCATTTCTACTTTGCTGTTGCTGTTTCCGCTGCGCTTGCAATTGACAAGCCCACAAGCGTCTTTGACAAAATTAAAATATGCACAGCAGCACAAACATTTATCGCAGCTATAAACCGGCTGCTTATATGCAAATACATGCTAATGCTAGTGTGTGTGTGTGCGCGTGTGTGCATTACAAGAATGCTTACCATGCCCATTATGCAATGTCGGCAACCTTGATTCATACACTGCCGCTCTTGCTGCATGGAATGTCGTGTCTCAAAAGGCCAGGCCAGACCAGCGCTACTCAAAGCCTGCATTAGCCTTCAAAAGCAGAGTAAGAATGCACTCAAACACACTGACGGCTTTACTATCGCACACACACAGCTACATATACTTATAGCTGCATGTGCAAGACATGATTGTGGCACAAATACATGCTCAATAGAAATCCCTACAAAGCTTTGGTTGAAGGCGAAATGTTGGTCAGACATGTCGTTGCCAACACATTAGTACTTGTGCCAGCACACAAGCACACGAACATGCATGTTGCTGTATATGTATGTGTGTGTGAGTGCTTTCTATGCTTGATACGCTCAAAGTTTTGCTTTTTTTTTTTTGCTTCCTTCGCTGTCTGTCCGCCTGCATGTCTGCGCCGCTTTTCCTCTACGACGCTGCCGCTACTGCAGCACCAACTCACTAATGATAATCAAATAAAGGATCAAGGAAATTCGGTTGCCGTATGAGACGCCGCAACTCGATGCAGCGCCGCAATGGAGCGCATGTTTCTCGTTAGTCCACTTGGCAGTGTACCAGAAAATAATTTGCAGATCTGTATTCGCTAAGAAGTTTAGTAGCGCAGATAAATGTTGTTGTTGGTTGTGTTGGTGACCCTGATTTCCGCTACTGCATTTAAGTGTGTGAAATTTTTAACACTCATGCGCTTGTGTGTATGTGTTTCGCAGCGCAATGTAAGTGTGCGCTTTATTCGTTTATAAAGCTGTATTCAAAGGATTATTGCCATAAAGAGGAACTTAATTCCTAGCTTATGTTAATTTTCATATATTATATATATTTATTTATATTATTTACATCAAGTCATTTTATAAATGTCTCACTTGAACTTTTTCTTAATGCATGAGTTAAAGAGAAAGAAAACATTATTTGTTTTTGAGATAATTGCCACAAGTATTTAATGGAAAATTTTTATAACCACAAGGAGAAGCTAAAATCTGACAGTTTGGGTGTGCATTTAAAGATATTTGTGCAAGATAATAGAACTAATTAGAGAACTTAATTTCTTCTTTCAAAAAAAGGAACCTAAGACTTAGCTCATAGGAGTATTGCCCATAAAGGTGACAGTTTCAAGCATAAGTAGTTGCTAATGAATTTCCTAATTCTGGTTTTGTAAATATAAGTGGCATTAAAAGCGTACATATGCCAATTTGCCCTCTTGCCCTTTAGTGACCTTCAACGTATTATAGAACAGTTGTTAGAGAGGGCGTACATCTAGTCTTGATATGGAAAAACTATTGAATGAAACTCAAAATATTATATGACTATTACTCTAACCTAAAAAAACTATATAGTGTGGAATGCACTTAATACTGAGCACACGCTCAGGCAAAGTTATCTGGCGTTAACGTCTCCTCCGCTAAAAATTCGTTTATTGAGGTGGAAAGTGATTATAATAACCAGCCAATTAAAATTGATTGAGATTTCTTAGAGCGCACACATAATCTTCCTGACGTCTAATAGACGACGGCTCGCTTCTTTATGGAGTCGTTTGATTTTATAAAAACAAGGAAACGGTAACTTTGGCTGCATAGAAGCTATAATACACTTCACAGCTGCATTCCTTATAGCATAAAAGTGTATAAAAAGTTATTTATGTTAGTTTTAATTGGTGAGTTTATATGGCAGCTATATGCGAAATATACACTATGTTCGGGGATAATAGTGTTAGCTAACAAAATAATCGGCGACAAATTTCTTAAAAAATATCTTATCAAATAATAAAGTTTTCCATTCAAGTACTTTATTTTGATCGATACGTTTGTTTGGCAGCAATATGCTGTAGTGATTCGATAACGGCGGTTCTGACAATCATCAGCTTATTAGAGAGCAAAAGACGTGTGCAAAATTGTAGATCGATATTTCAAAAACTAGGGGTCTAGTTCGCGTATATCTAAACGCCGATATAAGGCGCCTCATTCGTCACGCTGTAAATTTATTTATTTATATATGTATTTAGTTTGTAGAATCTCCGACGTTTCCTTTTGGGTGCAAACTTCATTCCACACTTAATATACTCTGTTC